CGATTATTGTTAGGTCCCTGTGTGATGAAGTATATTTTCGTCATATCACAAAATCATTTAACAAACTAAGCTAGAACATGAAGATACATTTCATTTAAAGATAACCTCCCAAAACTACTTCCAGCTTATGCTCAATTCTTCTAATGTAAATAAAGCAGCTTTTAGTAAGTGGTTTCATTGCTTTGTCCATTACGATTGTGTAACTGTACAATGTACCACCGTTATGTCGAACTATCGACAAGATGTAACTATAATCTTCCCTAATAAATCAATCGATAAATAATTTTGATCCATGATTGCTTACAATCAAAATTTACAACTTATTTATCAACAGTTGACTTTTACCTCCAAGGGATTGAAAAAGCTTTTTACTCCTTAGGAATAAAAAAGATGTTTACTCCCTAGGAATTAAAAAAGATGTTTACTCCCTAGGGATTGAAAAAGAGTACCGGTAAGGTTTAGTCCCCCCCCCCCAAACCATGTATTAAAAACAGCTGTTTGTTGCAGTATAACGAAAAAGTATTTTATTCGCTGGAAATCATTAGAGTAGTTAAAGTTCTCGGCCACCTGAGTTGTAAAGCTGCAACTTGTCGGTTAAGTAGCCTCGTGTACCTCAAACTGCCTCGCCAGTGAAACTTTATATTGCACAACAAGTTCTGAACAAACTACTCTAACAAGTATCCGTAACTTGCCTTCTTGAGAGGTTCTTCATTAGTTAAATTAATTACAAAACTGACTCATTATTTATGTTTTTTAAGATTAAAAATATTAATCATTGATGTCTTGAATTTTTGTTATATAGTTTCTTAAAAATATGTAGTATGAAACCGACACAGACAATTAATTTATTATCTAATGGATTTTTGATTCTGCAGCAGTATTTTAGTACAGAAATGCATTAAATTAAGAATTAATTTTGTTTAACATAATGCAAGTATTAATTGAATAATTGTGCTAGTTAATTTGTGATAAGACTACCAAGTTGATTGACTTATCATAAATTTAAATCTATTTCTAGCAATACTTAACTTAAGAGATGCTTTCTTTCATTATTAATAAATTATAAGAGCTAAGTTACCGGTACATTAAGTATTCAGAATTAAAATTCTCAATCAAACATGAATAATTTATTGGCTAGAAGGTGTTTGGTAGTCAGTGTCACAGATTTTAAGGCATTATTGTACACAAAAATCACAAGAAATACATAATTCGTTGAATTATATCTCACTCCTCTTTCCAGAAACAGACATTTTTAGATTTATTCAATTGTCATTGCTTAAAAATTTAATTTTTCAGCTTATAGCTAACATAATAAAATACACTCTTACTTTTAGCGAATTTCCCATATAGGGAATAAGCTATTACCGTAGTACTCATGGTAAGACCTGGACGCTGGACCGATTTTTTTTTTCGTTTTGAGGTCCCTAGAGGCCAAAAACACCATCCGTTCAAATTCATATATATATATATATATATTTATATATATATATATATATGTGTCCGTCAGCACGATAACTCGAGCAAAAATGATCCGATTTTGATGAAATTTGGTACAAACGTGTAAACCTACGTCTATTCGAACGAGTTCGCGATCCAGCATGATCAGACCATGGGAACGGGTGTTTACGGGGGGTTTTATGGGGTAAAAATAGGTTTTTCCCAATTTTGACCCAAAAAACATAAAATTTAGCAATTAATTTCCAAACCATTTTGTAGAGCTTCAAAAAACAAATAATTTAGTATATTGAAGCGTTATTATGCGCCTAATGGTTACGGAGAAAATTCCAAAAAACTGTAAATTTAAAATTCCCATGTTATTCTTATGGAGAATGAATAAACTGTTGTAGTTTGCTTGTTTATGAACATATTTTGATCAAATTTGGAAAATGTTTTTATTTCTTACTAACTATTAACATTTTACAAAAAAAAACAGTTTTACCCTCCCTGATGCAGCAAACCTAAGTTCTTGTTAAACTAATTCTATTTAAATCGGGAATAAATGTTATATTTTTAAGTAGACATTTCAGTGTAAATCCAATCAGTCAAATGGAAATTCGCTTAGTCTGCAGGTTTGCTGCGGCGGGGGTATTTTACACTATTTAGTAGCTTGGGGCCTTTTATTAAAAAAGGCCATGCAAAAACACCCCAATCCGTGGTGGAAAAAGCAATTCCCTAAATACTTTTGGTAAACATAGTTTAAACATGACAAAATACCGTACTTAAAATAAAATAAGTACAAATTACAAAGTATTTACAGTAGTACATTATCTTGGGCGTCAATATATGCTTCAATATACATATGTCTATATTACTGTGCTATATAGGTCTGTGTTATATAGGACAATATTAGTACAGTAATAGTTAATTACAGGCACAATAATAGGTTCAGTCTAAAATTACCAAAATTTGACCAGTCCCTTAAAACAAATTACACTGTAAAACGAACAAAATAACTACTTCCCTATAAGGAAATTCGCTGATAAGATAAAGTAGTTAAACCTTGCAAGTTTACACTAGTCTAAGCTAATTTTACTTGTGTTTATTCTCAACTTGAATCAAAACACATTATACAGTCAAAGTTATTATCAATATCTCTGCAAATCCTTGAATGATAAACCAGCCGAGATGACAGCACTGAGTTATTGTAATGTCAAAGCTACATCATTTGTTTTCGAGAAAAATTACTCTCCAAGGAAATTCTACCAGAGCATCAAACTTCATTCATTATTTTGGTTTGCTGATAACAGAATTTCACTGAAACATCAAATAAAACCGATTTATGGTTTTGGTAAAAAATAAAAATTACAAAATTAAATATTGTATCCAAAATTTTATGTTTTCATCATATTGTACGGAAAGCAGCCGTTTTTGTTCTCTAAATCGTCTGCAAATTCATAGTTTTCGGGTAACTTCAAATAGGGAACAGAAAAATACATGGCAAATTTTTAGATTCGCTAACCTCAAAATGTTATCAGTGCATTATAAAAACACTGCTAATCACACGATATTTAAAGTTATAATTGTAAACTACAGAAATGTAAACAATGATGACGACTTTGTATAACCTCAAATTATGAGGTTCAATTTTGTAATAAATAAAAAGGTTATTTTCACATTATGATGAAAATAGTTGTTCGTTACACGGACTGATAGTCTTTTTGCTACTTAATCGTGCCAAACTCGGCAGCGCCTCGCTTTTGCGTACTAAAATGAGCCACTTTTGCTCCTAGTGATAAAAACTGCTACTGCTTTAAAAAATAAAAAAAATATCTATGGTCTAGGGTTTTGTATTGTCAGCAATCTTCACATGACTAAATAAGCCGTATAAACTAACAAATGCTTTCTCCTATTCCTATTAGCTTGACATAGATAAATTGAACATTCTGCTACCTTATGAGTGGCAAAAGAAATACAGTGGGAAACGTGATGGGGTAAATATAAACAGGGTTTCCCTTTATTTTATGGGCCTTTAGTCCAGGAATTATATCTTAACAGTAGAGAATTCAGAGACACCCTATATATTTGAATAGTTTGATGTTTACTGATTTCAAATTGAAGACTGAACACTCGAGGAAGAGGTAACACAAGAGGATGTGTTCACTATGGAATCGAGGAACACTTCGTATGGCACTTGATGTGAATAGCTCTTGATTTATTAACCTGCCTCAAACCCTCTTAACCCTTGTTGCTGTGCTCAACCCCTTTCAACTTCTGAAACAATGGTAAGCTTCCACACTGTTTAAACTTGTTTCATTGTTCATAGATTGTTTTGCAAGTTCTGAGGTGGGACTTTGGGTAGTATAATAAATGTAATTAATGTATCTCTATGAGCTAAAATGTTTACATATGCTTACACAAAAATTCCTTTAATTTTACACTAGCTGAATTAAATACGTGAAATACTTTTGTAAAACTCGGTAATACGGTACATTATTGTTCTATAATGAAAATATAAACTCAATTCTAATTTATAATAGTTTTTTTGACAATTTGATTGGACTTTTTAGTTTTAGGTAAAATCTGGTTGCAAAATACAAGGAAATATTATTAAATTAGATTGGCGTGTAATAAGGTTTGTGCGAAATTCGGAAAACTTCCCCTACCAGACTTTTACTACCTACTTTGACAATGTTTATTCAAAGTAATTTTGATCTATACAAACAACAAAAGCAATGGTAGTGAGAGAGGGTTCCTGTTCACACTCTAAAATTATTCAATTTAAAACATCCTAATATCTTTAGCAAATTAATTTAACACAATGCATTTTCCACACAATTTGGCACATCTCCATTTTATTAAATCATCCACTCTTTTGAAATGGAATGAACTTAGAGAAAGAGGAAATATTTACATGACACAGTTCCATCAGTCAGATTTTACTTAGAATCACAAGAAGCCATTCTGCCTCTTTATAGCAATCTTAAATGTTCTTTTCATCAAGACGAATCATTTCTCCAGGCATTTCTTCTCATTTTCTTGATGCATATTGTGCGGGTGATTTCGTTGCTGCTCTTAAGAATCTATTTGAACGCATCAGATAATTTATGGATTATTTTTTTCTATTCATTCTGTTTAATAATCTATTGATATTACCATATATTGATATTATTCAATGTATATTAATTGAAGATCAAGTAATTAACAGATAATTGTTTATGATATTGAAATAAAGTATGGTAGTTTATATGTGTGTAAAATGTTGCAATTAATATTTATTTCTATTATATTTTTGAGAAAACTAGATTATATTGGCTTAAATTATTAAATACATTTTCAAAAAAATTTAAATTCTTAAAAAAAACATTGTGTCACACTATTGGCCCAAGAGATAATTAAGTGTGCTCCTCCAACCTTCCTTGCAGGGTAATTTTTCGATTCCTTTCACGCCCACAACTAATTTAAAAATTCTTGCACCAGTGGGACGGAGGCCACGGATCCTATTTCCTATAGATGCACCAATAACTATAAATCATAAGGAAAAGAAAACAAGCGGAGGTATATTATGTTTGGTATTTTTATTACAATTTTCTGTTCAAAACTGTGTTTCTAATAATATAATATTTTATAAATAGACAGATGTAAAATGTATAAAAAAGGTTAAGGTAACATTAAAGACACACATCCACTTATTTAGCAGAAAATAAAGACATCTGATCTACTATATTCAGTCGTGAGAAAAAAGCTTTGCACCCAGAAAAAATCTAGGAATAACCTTGACCTCTAAATTAGTGTTTGAAAATAGTGTGGTGAATGGTGAGTCTCCTTATATCAGCACCTGTAAAAAATCGTCAATTTAACGTAGGCCTGTTGTAGTCGCAAAAAACAAACCAAACCTAACAGTTTTTTATATTTTTTCTGTGTTAATTGTACAACACTTCAGATAAGTTACTACCGGTAAATCATTTGGTTTTTTTAAGCTCTTTAATATGATTATTTTACGGATGGTGTTTTTGGCCTCTTAGAACCTCAAAACAAAATAGTAAAGGTTTTGGGTCTGGTTATTTTCAAAAGACACTTGTACGCAAGTAGCTTATTAATTCCTTAAATGGAAAATTTGCCGAAATTCCCTGTATGGGGTAACTTGTTAACATTCCCTATATGGGAAATTTGATAAAAATGAGTGGGAAATGGAATCTTTTCAAACCTTTTTTCATCCCTGTTCCTCCAGCCACCCTCTTAGGCAGCTGAGTGAATAACACTGACTGGACTACATAAAGCCACCTGTTGGCAAGATTTTTTTCCCTCCGCCAATGGCATGTTTATGTTTTTTTTTTTAGAAGGGAGCAGTCCAAACCATCTTATTAACCTATAGATAGCATCAATAGTCAAAAGGCTAGTTACAAATGGCAGCTTGGTCCAGAATTGACCTCACTTGGAATCGAACTAGCATCATTCAGATTTGAAGGCGAGCACAATAACCATTTGGCTACCTATACAGTAGACTCCCTCTTATCCGTACTCCTCAGGACCGAGGCCAGTCCGGATAGCGTCCAAAAACTCGTTAAAACGGACCGTTAACTGTGATATTCAACTTAAATTTAGGAGAACATTGTATTTAGACACCTGATTACTGGTCTCAAATATTTCCCACGAGAACAGTCATTTCAGTACCGCCCACTTCCAGCTGATGTAGTCCGGTTAAACCAATGTGCTGATAAAAATTGTCCGGTTAAAGAGATCTAGTCTGGTTAAACCGATGTCGGGATAAGAGGGAGTCTACTGTACAATGCTAGTTTTAGTTACAAGATCCATAAAGATGCCCCATCTGCGGCAAAATATATATTCTACAGTAAAACTCTATTTAAAGAACTTGGGCAAAAAAATTTTAAATTACCTAGGCTATTCAAATATTTTGCGGTACACAAAGTAAGATAATAACCTGTTTATTTAATCCGCTGTGATTACTGTCCAACGACTAGTTAAGTTAGAATTGGTTCAGTTTAATTGTTAAACAATTGTAAAAACTCACCCCAGAAGTCACTCGGTGCCTTCATACTTGACTCGTCTCACAGCCAGATAGCTAGATTTGGTCTCCAGGTCTTGCCAACCTAACGGTCCCAATTCACAGTCCGCACAGATCAGGAACTTTTTTCCGTCTACTGTGTTTGTGTAACCGATATTTTCAAAATTGTACATATTATCAATTTGCCAATATTCCTTAAGTACTTCTTCATCGGTTTCTCCTTCTTGTAAAACCTTCTTGGACACGATATTTGGTAATGAGTACTGAAAAAGTATTATGATTAATAATTAAACTTGTTATAGGGCCTATTCAGGCTTTCTAATTTGTACCAGTATGTTTGGACACGTTTTTGTCCCATTTTAGAGTTTTGTTCATCTAATATTAGCCTATTTGATCTTTTCAATCACTAGGCTATATTTAATTAGTGAGCATATTGTATTTTTTTCTGGTATTTACACCATAATGTTGCCGTATTTTGATACTTGTACAGTAATGTTACCTACCATAGTCAAGTAGTATATGTTAGTGTTTTCATTGAGAAATCGGGTGATGTTTTAAATAAAGGAGCTCATATATTCCCATGACGTCATATCATGCCACAACCGCTGCTTAAATCCCCTCTCTTCACAACAGTCCACACCATGTTAAGACACTTAACAACACTTAAATGCTCCCATGTGGCCTTCAAAGCAGAAAGTAACGCAAGTTATTTACATCAAACCATAGACAAATAAAATAAATATAGACTGTCAAAGGAAGGATCTGGCACCCACCACAAGGAGTGCCGTGTAGTTACGGAGGACACCGCTGCAGGCGAGAAGCGCAGGAGCTGTATGCGATCAGTAGACGCTGCAGCGGTGTGCGCCATAACCACATGGCAAACATAGCGGTGGACGCCAGAACTTATGCTAACCGCAGCACAGCTGACGGTCTATATTTATTCTTGTCTATGATCAAACATACCACCCGTAACTCCCAAGTATAGTTCATATAGAGTTTAAATATTGGTTATATGAGACAACAATGAAAATGTAAACAAAATAATCGTTATCTAACTAATATTATAAATGCGAAAGTTTGTGTGTTTGTTTGTTTGTTTGTGTGTTTGAAGTTCAATCACGCAAAAACCACTAGACGGATAGGGCTGAAATTTGGCATGATGATAGCTTACATTCCTGATTAACATATAGGCATATTCTTATCTCAAAAATTCTTTCGGGCTCCGCCCCAGTGGCTCTGTAATTCCGCATGTTAACCTTATGAGTATTCATATTTAAAGGGAATTAAAGAATTTAGTCAGCTGTTTCAACTAAAAAAGTTGGTTCTATGATATGGAAAAGCATTAAAAAGTTATAAGATTTGCCAACAGGGTGCAGCACTATATTTTTTTTCATTTATGAGAACAGCTAATTTGAACTAAGCAGCAACAAAAAACTGTGATTCGAAATGAGAACGAGAACTGTCAAAGTAGGATTATTTACAGTTATGTTTATGTTTTTCATTTAATGAATAATTTGTGATATTTTGTGAATTGTTGATAATTTATTTTTCTCTATTGTTTAGGTGAAGTGGTAGAATATTATGGCTACCGGTATGGTAGATGTGTAATACCTACTATAGAATACTGTAAATTTAAAAAAAACAAATTTTATCAAACTGTGTCCTCCCTTATTGCAAACGCAAAGCTTGAGTATAACTGCAATAAGCATTTTATACTTACATATTCCAACCCCGTACGAAGGACGGGTACTCTGCTAGTACTAACATAAAAGCCTACCTAAAGGGTAAATTATACAACACTAAAATAAAGCATTTAAAAGAAATTATAAAATACCAGTCAGAAAACAATTATTAAGATTTTAGGAATATTTCTGTTGAAAGTTAATAATAGTTCTTAAGTAGGTTAATTTGTGATTTCTTTAAATTAAGTTAATACTTAAAATAATGATTATAGGTATTATTTTAACGTACAAATGATCCGCAATAACCTAGAAAATGAAAACACACAGTACTAGAATTGTACTACTTTGGCCGCTAACCATTTTTGGTTAGGTGGACGAGTCTACTGCAGAACGTCAACAAAAGCAGTCAGCATTTCTCAGGCATTGCTGAATTGACGGCTTGTACGCCTTCTGTCAGTGTTTGTCATTACAATGTTTTAATATTGACATGATTGTGTCAAGGACGGTATAGTTCAAGTCAAACTCAATAAAAAAAATAATTGTATTTTTAAAAACTGAAAGATCCACCTAATTTTGTTTGTGTTTAATCCTGTAGAGTGTTGGCTTGGTGTCTTTTAATAATGTACTCTACTGTAGTAGACTCCATCTTATCCAGGCACTTTTAAACTGGACATCGATTTAACCGGACTACCCTCGGCGGAAATGAAATCTCTTTAACTGGACAATTTTTATCAGCACATTGGTTTAACTAGACTAAATCGGCAGGAAGTGGGCGGTACTGAAACGACTGTTCTCGTGGGAAAGATTTGAGACCAGTGACCACGTGTCTAAATACAATGCCCTCCTACATTTAAGTCAAATACTATATAACTTACAGTTTTTTGGGGACATCGGTTTAACCAGAAAACCTGTTTACCGGACTGGCCTTGGTCCTGAGGAGTCCTAAGAGGGAGTTTAATGTAGGCCTAGTGTAATTAAAGTAAAAAATAAATAAAAATAAAAAGTGTTGAGCATGTTTGAGTTATTGTTTTCCTTGATATCACTGGCCTAATTTAAATACATTGTAAATCAAAATACCAACTATGGATCATTTTTTACTCACTAAGCATTGTTAATAAAACATACAAGTTTAGGCCTACTGTATAAGTCTTTGACTTCCTAATGTGGTAGGGGTACGTTAAACGCTTAACCTCAAAATCTCAAACACCTCTGCATTATCCGAGATTCTCCGTAACCGAGGTAGTCTCCCCCCAACAACCCCAACAACCTCGGGTAATCGGGAGTGTACTGTAAGTTATAGGCTATTCGTAACACAAACTAATTTATCACTCACCTCAATTTCTTTATACTGCCCAACTCCTACACACAAAATCTTTGATGGACATCGTACACAAAATACCGCTCTTTTATTTTTTCCTTCCTCAATCAACTCTTCAACAGGAATGTTGCCTCCGTCAGCCATATTCTATCTATAAAGCATCTGTTACTTAAACAAAGTAAAAAAATTAGCTTAATCACATTAATTTGATGGGGTTTCTATACTAGGACTAAGTTATTCAGAAAGAATATAAGATTCCAAAGGTCTTTGTTTGGTGAGTAACAAGTTACTGGCAGGGCTGAGAGAGTTGTGATCTCACAGGTTGGTCTCTGATTTAGTAAGTGAATGTCAGTGTGCTTTAGAGTTAAAATAGAGCTTATTTGGTAGCCTACTTAAATGTGAGTTATAAATAGCCACTTCGGCCATTAGTACGGAGAGCCCCACCAACACACTGGAGTCATCTGTAATAATTTATTTACAGTATTGTAAACAATTATCGAGAACAAACAAAATGAAACATGAAAGAAATTTTTTCCTACGCCAGAGGCATTAAGGTTTAGGCCTAAGTCAACAAGAGATTAAACGCTAGGCTATTAAGGGAATGCGTCCTGGGTACACTTCCATATCTGTTGGCACAAACAACCGAATGAGTAATATTGATTAAGTTATTCTATTGTTTAAGTTAGTTTGATATATCGATTGGTTTGTTAGGTTAGGTTAACCTTACCTAACTAACCAAACTAAATCTCGTACTAAACAATCGATATATCGATTGATATTACTCATTCGGTTGTTTGTGCCAACAGATATGGAAGTGTACCCTTTTCAATGACATTATTTCTTACCAGAGACAAATTCAAAGTTTACTTTGTAGGCCTATTGCCTTATTAAAGTATGGTACGTTAATTTCCTATAACTTAAAACAACCTTACCAAATAATATGATGATAATGTCTTGAAAAATAAAGAAATTGATTAGGCCAACATCTATACGTTAATTAAACAACAAGCATAAGTTACTTTAAAGTAGGGATTACTAAAATTGACAGTTTTCGAATTTTGTGTATTTTGAGTTTTGACATTAGATTTTTAGGTTAAGAAGTTAGTCCGACCGAAGACTCCGAAGCAGTCACTCAGTTCAGTTCAGTCACTCCTTCCCACTCTACTCCTACTCCACAAATGAATGGTAGAGTAGAGTAGAACAAATATTAAAACAGCACTTTAAAAATCACTTTGACATTGATTATAAAAAATATTGTGTTTAGACAATTCCATACTCATTATTTGCATTCATAGTAATTATAATGTAGCTGACAATATACATTGTTCTTCATTTATTAGTTATTTTCCTTAAAGTAACTTTTTAAAGTAATTTTTCCTTAAGTAATTTTTCACTGCCGCTGTAAGTTGTCAAGCGGAGATTCTGTGTGTTTTCATGTAAAAATTGAGTATTCATAGTCAATATTCCATCAATTTAGAATGCCGCATTGCTACTTTAGAGATACTACGTCTCTTTCTTTAGATATGCATAATATAACATTGTTAATTTGAACCCCATACCTTTGATTTTAGAGATACTACCATAGATAAAACATACTCCCACTACGTCTCTTTCTTTAGATATGCATAATATAACATTGTTCATTTGAACCCCATACCCATACCTTTGATTAGAGAATGTAAAATCAAAGGCTTTATTATGAGAACTTTTTTTGCACATTAGTATAAACACAGAGAATACACCATTATTTAAAGTTTGGGATGGTAAATTGTCTGTAGTATCCATAAATAAATAAACACTAGGGCGTCATAAATGGCGTTAAGAATATTACAGCGGTCATATTACCCTACCACCTAAAAACTATGTGGTCAGGCGAAAGTAATTAATTATTGTCAATGTCGAAGAAACTCGGATATCCGATAAACGACTTTGGGTCATTTTCAATGGTCTTATTTCCATATATCTCGACTTATTGATGAAAGTCCAGAATGTTTGATAAATTTCATTATTTACGAATAGACCAGTCCTGTTTACATCATAAGTGAACTAATTATTTGATTTTTCCAGCAGTGACTTTATGAGGGCCTTTACAAAATCAAAATCGTAGATTATATTATATATGTTCTAATAGTCTATCTATTGTCAATGATTATCTAACGATTCAAAACGTGTTTGTCTCTAGACTGTGTGGATAACAGCTGTTTAAGCCAACTACCACCAAAAATATCAAAAGTTTGACAGTTGGTCGTTGGTTGGTCTGCATCTGCAGGAAACAGGATAGGGATAGGAACAACAACAAGGGCAGAAAATTAACCACCACCACAGAAGAATAGAAGATTGAAAAGAAATTATTAACGTTCACGTTCACGACATCAGGGAATGAAACTCACCAACCAACATTAATTTAAATTTACGCCAAGGCAACAATAGGTTGTGTTTTTCTGTAAAAGGTTTATATGGTCGTATTTTATTGTGTGAACGTCTCACCCGTGTAGAAGTCTCACTAAGGTAAAGATATAAATAGCACTACAACACGCTGTGAAATGATTATGTTAGCCCTTAATTTACGTTTATTTTATTTCTAGAACCATATTAAGTGTTAGCTTGTGTCTTGTGTTATGTTGATAAGGCTTTATTGTTAAGAAAATAGCCTAGGGGTCATTCCACATCAATTCAACCAACGAAAAATGATTAGCCTATCTCACCCATCATCTCAGAATTTGATGAAACTTGGCTTGTTTGTTCTAACCATAAAGATAAGTCACCATACCAAATTTTAACTCAATACCTCTTACCGTTTCCTTTTTATAGCCTTTTAAAGTTTTTCGTTTCCGCTAGTACTAACCATCAGATGTCGCGGAATAAAACTCGCTTACTTTTAGAAAATAATTTATAACTTTTCTGTTTACTGAAGAATCTTCATAAAAAATTCATGTACTTATTCTTTAAGACATGAGGATTCCATAAAAAAATACTAATAGCCTACCTCTTAGTTTAATGTAATAAGGCTGAAAAAATTTCTTTTTTGTACCTATGAATTTTTAAAACGTGAAGACATAGTTTAGCGTAAAATGGATTATCTAGAAAAGGGTATTAGATAAACATAAAAACCTTTTTTTACTAATAATCCTTATTAAATTAGCTATCATATGCTGCAAAAAAATTCATGGGGTTTTAATACCTTCATAGTTTTTTATCAAGTTAAAAATCAAATTATGAATTTATTTTTTTTCTGTTTGATTTACAGAACTATACGGGTTTCAAGGAATTGAAATGCCCTAGACTTACACTATTACAAAATGTTTTTAATTACTAAATTAATCTAGTCATATTTCAGGCTGCACTTTACTTGACGTCCTACACTCATTCGATTGTTTTTTCGATTCGATATTTTCATTCGATTGTTTCATTCGATATATCGTTTGGTTAGTTAGGTTAGGTTACCTTACCTAACTAACCAAACGATATATCGAATGAAGCAATCGATTAATCGATATATTGATCGATATTCTCATTCGAATGAGTGTAGGACGTCAAGTAAAGTGCAGCCATATATCAACCCCTTAACTTAACTGTTTCAAAAACTTAATTTCATATTACAGCCACAGTTACATCCTATTTCAAATATTTTTTATTAACTTACCGACCGTATCAGACATGCTAAAAAAAATCTTTGATAAGGTAGAGCGGGTTGTTTACTAAAAATAAAAACAGCCTTTTCTTAAAATTCTTTAAGTCTAAATCTGTCACAGCCAGAGGTAATTTATTTAACAGCCTGATACCCGGATCACAACATGTCCTGATCTTGTTTTTTCCAACCGTACCTGAGGCAGATCAATCTTTTTGCAGTTTCTGGTACTAATACTTTGCACTTCATTTCTCATTTTGTAGGCTATTTAAAGCTATTCTTAAAAGTAAACAATAATAATTGATAAATGTATAAGTTAATGATGGTCAATATTTTTAATTCAATAAAAAGTGGTTTACAGTGTGCTTCACTATTCTCTTTACACATTATTCTGATGATTTTTTTCTGAGATAGAAGTACCTCGTGGATTTTAGGAGAGCTACCATAATAAATTAAACCATATGAAGCAATTGACTGAAATAACGCAAAATAAGCAGATTTTAGAAATAGCCTACACAACCTTTCTTGAGTTCAGTAGGCTACAATTATTTAATAATTAATCTAATGACAGGTACTACATTATAACTTACTTTATCCAAGGGGTTATGACGTTAGTCTTCAATTTAAAAATTCATTGTTTTGTCAATGTTATTAGATAGGCCTAAGTTAATTTCTGATCATTGCATTGACTTATAATATAACTTAGACCTAGTCAATGATCATTACCATTGGTCAAGCCGTTGGGATTTAACAATGTAACATGATTAACGGTAAACATAGGCATTACCGGTACCTCTGTGGTACTAACTTTAGCCTATTATTACATTTACTGAATCTAACGTATGTACTGTTACAAGTTAATGACCAAACCAACTTCCAGTTGAAAGTAACCTAGCTTAAGGCCTATACTTTGTTGTAAGCTTTTGTAACTTATTTTCTTTTTCTCATAGTATAAAAGATGAGTTCGGGATTCATATCAGAAACTGAAATTGCTGAGCAAAGAAGAGTTAGGCAAGAGGAATGGGAAAAGGTTCGGAAACCGGATCAACCTTTAGGTAAGTTATAATTAAACTTTGTTTTAGTTTAGCAATGGTATTTAATTTTAGTACCGGTAGGCCTAGGTTATTTTTTTTATTATCTTCATTATCTTTTCCTGTGACAGTAAGATCGGAATACCTCAGATTTTTTTAAATTTGTGATATCTAAGGTTTAAAAGTGTTTTTACTTTTTGGTGTCTTAGGGTAATTTATAATGTTTGAGTAGAAACAATCTTAGGCTGTCACAACACATCAAAACTGCCATAGTAGCCCAAACCAATTAAATAGAAAATAAAACGTGACGTATTACATTACCCTATGATAAGCTGATAAAACAAGGTTCTTTTTAAGTAAAAACCTGTCTTCAGGTGGACTGTAACGCCCAAATACTTCACCATCCAAAGTCAATTAACTCCAACATGTGGCAGAAAAGCTGCTGGAGTAAAATAATACACAAAGTATCTCCACTATTTGTTAGTTTTTAAATTGAATTCAGCTTGTGATAAAATGATTTTAATTTATCTTTCTTGTTCCTTGTAGAAGTACCAGAAGAAGAATATGATCACCGTTCTTTGTTTGAGCGTCTCCAAGAGCAAAAGCAGAGAAAGGAGTTTGAATTTGAAGAAGCTCACAGACTAAGTAAGTTTGATTAAATTACCATTAGAGTAGCATTACGCTATTCTAAACCAATAGGAAAATCCGCTAGTTCAGCAGGACTTTAGGGAAAATATTTCAATAAAATGTTTGAACTGGGAAAAGACAAAGACAATAAAATGTTTTTTTTTTTCAATTTAAATATCATATGCTATTTTTGAAACATTCGACAAGCAAGGAAGAACCAGGAGCCGTGCGCACTGTGCGTAAATTTGTATCTCGCAGGGCACAAGGTCTTCTTACAGCGTGAGCGTTGTAATACGTAGTGACAAGGAGGTACAGGAGTGTTGGAGGGGTTAGGAGAAGTGACGGTGTTGGACTTTGCCCTAGACACCACTAAGTGCACCACTACAGTGTTTCTTCTGTACCTTACTTCTCCGTTTCACCTTTAGTAGCCTACTATTTGCTTTTATTAAACTGCTATTATTTTTTCAGAGAATATGATAAAAGGACTGGATGACGATGAGGTGGAATTTCTGGATTTGGTTGATAGAAGCAAACTTGAGGAAGAACGTAAGAAATCAATTGAAGAAGCCAGAGAAATGGCCGACTTCCGGAACAAAGTTGCGACTCTTCAAGAACAGTCTCTGGAACAAAGGATACAGCATGAGATTAAAGCCAAACCACCGCCTCCTGCCAGCAGGTGATACCCCGTTGCAGCAAACCTTTAGGATGAGTTGAACTTAATTTATGTTTACGACTCTTTTGGTATTGGTAGAATATTGATGATGGGCTGATAACGACAAATCCTCCAACTTTGGAGGATTACTTATTCCAAAGTAAGAATTTTTTTTTTTTACCTCAGTCATAATGTAGTTGAAAAATAATATCTGCCATACCGGTACCTATATTAATTTAGGCCTGACTATTTTATCTAAGGAGGGAAAGCAATAATCATATGTTTACACGACAGGCTTCTAGCTGTGGAAACAGATTTACTAAAACTAATCTAGGGAAGCGAGATGGTCTAGTAATAATAGGCCTAATGTTGAATACGGCCAAGGACGGATTAAAGGGGGGGGCGGTGGGGGCGACCGCCCCCCCCGAGGCCCAAGAGACAGAAAAATTTTTTTAAAGGAACGCACGGAAAATAAATACTCGTTGTAGGTCTGCAAAAGAAAGATAAAATATTTTGTCTGTGGTAAAACTGGGTTAGTATGGTTAATTTACGGTTTTAACAAAAAGTCGGGGTGATCTTACAAATATTTTAATTTGAATTTTGGTAAACAAGGACAAGCGCTTTAAGGAAAATAATCTACGAAGGTTGGCAATGCTGTTTTTTTCGTGACTATTAAGTACATCCTTGTCTGTCGTCCGTCATGGCGTTGTCTCACTCGTCTGTTACCGATCGGCTCGCCGCCGCCATTTTACAGTATACTGCGAACTGTGAGAAGAGATGGAAGAACAATTAATTATTGACAGATATTTAATTTGAATGCGGACTTAAGTTGAATATTTAAGTTTTCAATATTTTAATTTGATATAGGCCTACCAAATAGGGGCTGGTATTAAAAATTAAAACACCACCGGCAACCTGTATTCGGGGTTGGGTGATGAAATTCAAAATCATGTTAAAAGGTGTGTGACATCACTCATGGTCACGTGAACTGAAAGTTATTTTAAAATGTACCGTCATGAAAAAATAAAAGTGATGGAATGTACAGTTCCAGTCTAACATTAACGTCTAACATTTCTTGTCATAAATTTTTTAATTCGTCGTATCAATTCAAATTTGTGGCATTAATTTAATTTTTTAAAGCTCCTTAAAGTTATGTGGTAATTGATAAGGATTGTCGTTTAACAATTTTAAGCTATCCCTAGCAACCCCTACTAGGGTGGTGAGGGGTGAAATTTAAAATACCACAAAAAAGTACTTTATATTACCGTAGTAACGTGTATCGAAGCTCATTTGGATATATGCAACGTTCAAAAATTATTCAGGGGGTAGCATTACGGGACACCCGCTATGTAAGATTGAATAAATCAAACTTCATCTTGATATTTTAGGTCATTGGCCTATATTACGCATCTGATAGTGCTTTTTCAGAAGAGAGGACCATCGATAATTATAAATTGATATTACTTTAATTGGAAACAATCATCTTCTAAAAACCTAATTATTAAAGCAGATTGTACAACACTATTTTTATATTTTTTAGAATAAAAATGTATTTCAACTTACATTATTCACAACCAAAGTTACAAATGAATGGTTTTGAAATAAATTTTAGCCTATACTGCATGTAAAAATAATCAACTATTTAAAAATGTTAAATATAAATGCAGTTCAAAAACAACAAACAAGTTGTTTTCACTTTTAGCTCAGAAGTTTTCAACACGACCTTATCATATACATATATTTTTAAATACAACTAAACTAAACAAGAATGGTAATGTAGGATAGTAGTAATAATTATAATAACAGTTAACATTACAATTATTTTACTAATCTCTTGTTTACGATGTGGGGAGCAGACGGCACGGCACGGCCGGCTATCACCCACTGCCAACATCACAACACCAAATACTCTACGATTCCCTCAATGTTTATTGCTTTAAGTTCTGAACTCAAATAGGTTCAGGACTCATAGATCCTGGAGTTTCAGAGATAGATCCGCGACTCAGCAAGACGATTTAGATCCCAGAACTTATTTGAGTCCATTTAAACTCAAGTATTTAGGCCACTCACCAGTAGCCTATATTGAAAACATGTAACAAATATATTTTTTTGTACCTTTATATTATTTAATAAAAAATGTAATTTGGTTAAATTTATTTTTGACATGAATGTTTTCTTTGTAAATAAATTAAATGGAAAATATACAAAGTTTATTATTTTTTATTTAACCTGTCTGGTGTTTTTTTTTTATAAAAGTTGTGTAGTTTAAAAATAATACTGTATAAAGAGGACTTAAAATGCGTATCATTCATATGTGTATAATTCCAGTTAGTAGTGCCTACTTAATTCATAGAATTTTAATATAGGTGATTAATTTTGCTAAAAATAAACAGGTTCTTGCTATGATTTTTTATGCACACAAATTTGTAGGCCTAGTAGGCAAATGGTTTATGAAAAGTGTTAGATTTACTTTAAGAATATAAGTCTAAAACCTCTAAAACTGGTAGTTTTTCAAGGTATTTTTCTAAAAATCTTCCCGGACCCCCCTTTTTGCTGGGGGGTATTCCATACCCCCCAGGCCCCCCGGATCCGCCCCCTCCCACAAGATGGTACTAATCCGCCACTGAATACGGCTTTGGTCCCAGGTTCAAATCTTGCTAATCCCTAAAGGCTATAATAATGCCACGATCTTTAAGGCCTTGTCTGAAGTAATGTTAAAACAATTCCCGGCTAGAGCCCATCGTCATAGGATGTGATGTTGTGTTTTAAACAGAAAGAGGTTCATTTTTTTTCTTATTAACAGTTTTTATTTTATATTTTATTTAGTGTAGTCATTAAAATAACCTGGATAGTTTATCACATTTTATACAGTTTCTTAAGAAACTATGTTCTACTTTTTGCTGAGGTTCTAATGGTTTAGAGCCAAATATTTTCTCACGAGAGTTGTGAATTCTATTACAACCCAATTGATCAATTTGTTGTTACTGTTCCTTTCTGTGAAGCTATTGTCATAGAGTAAAATTAATAAAATTAACTTTAAAAATTTTGTAAGGGAAACATAGCTAGCTCCAGCAAACTCAAGCTGAACTCGCCTTGGAACACAATAAAATAGTATGCTGATACAAAAGGATAAGATGTCTTGTAGTATTCACAATCAAATGTTATCCCCTTATCTTTTTTACCAGCCCAATTAGAAAATGCTTTTAGTATTAGGCCCCGGGTACGATACGAGCGGTGAGCGGCAAGCGGCGCCGCTCTGACATCGCATCTCATTTAATTGGGTGTACATTTGTTAAGAGTGGCCACGATAAGTCTGAGCGGTATGGCAAGCGACGCTCATGGTTCCAAGTCATAACCGTCCAGAGAATGTTTTTGGAATGACCAGCACAGAGGTTTTAAAAACACTTCAGTCACCAGAAAAGTATGGGACAAAGTAAGGGATAATTTGTTTCTAAAACCTAAGTTTTTCTTTAAAGGCGAACATTTTTTAGATAGCAACAGTTGAAATACGTCTTTCGGATAAGCACAGTTTGCCATTTTCGACTAATCCGACTCCTACAACTGAGGAAATTTGATAAGCGTTATAAATGTGCCGCTAGTATCGTAGCCACCACCGCCACTCAGGTTGCCGCTTGCCGCTCGTATCGTACCCGAGGCCTTATGCCTCCAAGATCAAGAAGCTACCTTTATAAAAGGTCAATTTTTGTTCTTGATTAAGTCCTAACCCCTAAGCATCAACAAATTCAAATGTGTTGTTCAATATACAAACCGATGTTGTTTCCCAAGTTGGAACCAATAAACCAGTATTGTAAAATTTCATTTTGTATGGTATTTGTTTATTTACAGCGGCCGTACATCTCAGATGAAACTGCTTGCTGGTGCAGTTGTGAAGAAGCGACCGGCTGAATCTCAAGACACCTCGCCGAAGAGACAAAAGACTGAGCCTGAATCAGATAAGAAACCAAATGGTGCGGGAGACGATGCTAAGGAGTGTTCCAAACGCTCAAGAAGTGAATCTGAAGGTACGGTAATCAGATTACAATTTATTTTTAAAACCTTCTCTTCTTCAGTCCCTTAAATCTTCTATATATTTTATTTATCTAACGCCTATTCATTACTCATCAAAACCTTTATCTATTCTTTACCAGGTCCCAATTCATGGTCCTAGAGTGCCAAATTTCCAAAAATCCTTTTTTTTACAATATAGTTTTGATTAGGGCACAAAAAAAAAGGACATGTACAGTAGACCCCCTCTTAACCGACCCTAATGGGACCGGACGTAGGTTGGATGACTCAAAAGGTCGGTTAAAACGGGCAATCCCTAAAATCATAACATAATGAAGTGCTATTCATTTGAAATTATATAATCACTAGCTGTACCCGCGGGCTTTGCCCCGTTTTACTTCATAAGTGAGCTCGTTTGCATGGCTCAATCACGTCCTGGTTGAAGTTCGTTCGCTACGCTCACTCACCTTTAGGTTGGAGCTCGTTCGCTGCGCTCACTTGCCTTCAGGTTAGCTCGTTCGCTACGCTAACTCGCCTCCAGGATGAAGTACTGTAATGTATTAATTGATGCCTTCCAAATCCATCGTAATACAGTAGAGAACCTTTTGTCGAAATTAAAGATACAAGCAACCATTTTGTTACAAGACAGGATGTTTATTTATAGCCTCTCACTGGAGGCTCGAGGCACAAAAACTATCTTGACCTTGGAGTTGTTAACCCCCCTTCCCTGCCCTCCCTATAAGTTGCGTTGTTTGTTTACTCCAGCGATAAGATAATCAGTTCTCAAAATCGTAACACACTTTATGATGTTATAAATTTGCTGCACAGATAACAAATCAGATCAGATGTGCTCGCGCTACGAACGATAGGCTATGCTATATTTTTTGGGACCAATACAAAATAACTTATTCTTAGTCATATCCTGTGGAGATAAGCGTATGGTTCAGTTCTCATCGCCCAGCGTGGGAGCGGAAATGCCGAGATTCCTAGTAAGCAGCGGTTAAACCGAACTGCTCTCAAAGCAAGGTCGGTTAAAACAAACTGTATTATTTTACGATCGAAGGCGGATAATCCGATTATCGGTTAATACGAGGTCGGTTAAGAGGGGGTCTACTGTAATAACAAAAAAATTTCAATAAGCATTTTATTAGGGATGGACGAGATTGGATTTTTAGTTCGAGACGAGACGAGACGAGATTTTTTATTTCTCATAAAATTTCGAGACGAGATCGAGACGAGATTTCTCTTCTCATACACAACGGGAAATGCACGTTCGAAATTTTTACCTGAGTTTGTAACATTGTTAGATGACTGTTTAAATACTAAAATAATGATAATAGGCAAGAATATTTACAATCTTTTCATTAAATAACATCAGCATAACATTTTTTTATTAATCTCGCCTAACTTATTAAAAATGCCTACGATTAGGAAACATGGTGATATCAGTTAGGATAGAGTTCAACTTATCCTAAAATAAAATAAATCATAAAATAAAAGCAATATTAATTTTTATAAAATAGTTACTTGTTTTGACTTTTTTATAGTAATAAAACATTCCTCACACTGCTTACACTTAACAAAACTTCTCAAATGTTATTAAAGTAATATTATTAAAATAATGAAAGTAATATTTACATTAAAAGAATTAATTAAATAAGAACGCCTTCGAAAAGGAAACGCAACTACAACACGCTCCTGTATTGCGGGTATTGCATTGACTTTCTGCAGGCGTTTTTAATTTTTTAATTTTTTTTTTTTTTTTTTTTTTATTCTCGTCTCGATAAAAATCTCGGCCAAAAAGTAATCTCGTCTCGTGTAACGAGATTGAAAATTTCCCGAAAATTTCCCGAAATTTCGAGACTTGACCATCCCTACATTTTATCTAACTAATAATAGTAATAATAGCTTGTTTACAGCTAAAACTCGTTTCCAGTTACTTTAATTTTAATCATTTTCTGGGGAGGGGTGTCAAAAGTGATGCCTTTGGTTCTAGCTACCCTAACATGCTTATCAGTCAAATAATACTTCCATCAGTCACTAAAATCCTCACTTTAATCAGTCACTAATAATTGGGCTACATTGATTACCAACTTAAATTTGCTATGATAAGTCAACCAAGTCTTTGATAAGCCTATAAAACTAGTGTCTCTTAGCCTCTAAGATTTAAACAACCACTGAAAAACTTGCATTAATCACTCACTGAACTAGTGTTCATCAGATCCTAAATCTACATCTGATCAGTCCCAAATTTGAGTTAGTCAGTCACAGGAGAAACGAGATGTCTACTTCTTCTTCTTAGAAAAGGCTGACAATCTCTTTAAAAAAAATAACTTCTATTAAAAGATTCTAGTCAGTTTCTAATTTCCGATGTTTGATTGTAGAAGCTGTGCAACCTCCTCTCCGATGCATCGGAATCCTGCCTGGTCTCACATCCTACGACGATGCTTCCAGCGACAGTCGCAGTGATAGTGATTCGGACCTAGAAGTTAACAAAGCCAAATACGACCTTCTCGGCAGAAAAATATGCAAAAAAATTGAAACTGTGTCTGCCTCGCAATGAATTGCCGTTTTCAATATTTGCACTTTGCGTATGTACAATTTCAATTGCACTAATGTTATTATTTTATCAAATGTGCTGCTACGTTGTACCAAACGGTTTTTATTTTCTTTTTAAGCTACCGGTTTCAATCTCAGGCATTATTTCTTGTACATTTTTCATTAGCTGTAATGTTTATTTTTAAGAATGAAGGGTAGTATCAAACAGTGAGCTGATTTTAATTTTTGTTTGTAAATGAAATACAATTGTTTAATATACATTTGTTTTTAAATTATCCTTGTAAATATAAACCTGAACCTGTTAAAATCGTCTAAAAGCTACTAGACATTTTTAATTGACTAACATATTTCAATCAGAATAATGTTCTTTCTAAATTGTGACACTAGGTTTGTATATTAGTGTTTTGATATTGTAATCGTCGACTCGTAAGTACAACCAATTAAGAAGCAGGATTCAAGGGGTAAAAATAAAACAATAATCAAGAATAGTATTTTATTCAAAACGCCTTGAGGTTAACTAAGTTTCATTTAGCATTTTTTTTTTTTCATTAAGCATTTTCATTTCATTTCACCTTGTCAGCAAGATGTCCGCCATTTAGTTTGATTTACTTTTAAAGATGTCTATAAGAAATTTGAAGAAACGATAAGCTATATTTCTTCAGCTATGCAAAACTTCCTTATTTCAAAATGGTAGTCATTTTAATTTTTACAACTTGCTAACAAAAATTGCTGATTGGCTGATTTTATGAAAAAATGTCACAAACATGCCGGTAAAAATGTCATTTTGCCGGTACCCTACTGAGGGTACCGGCAAAATGAGGCTCACCATTGGCAGCTGGGACTCGCAAACGAGGTATTTTTGGCAAAAATCTTATTCTTGATTTTGTTTTTTTTTTCACACTTAAAACATATGCCTAAATGTGTTGTCCCTGTTTCTTCAACACCCTATATTAGGGCCTATACTCTAGACTCTAATTTTCTTAAAGCTAGCAAAACTATCCATTTCACACAACAAACCATTTTCAAGATTATAAGTGTAGTAAGTAATAACCTACTCAAAAATATTGGTCAATCATTAAAAAACTAATTTACGTCAAATTATTAGCAAAATTGTACTAAATTGGAATACATCTTTTACAACCTTGACTAACTCAATTGTAAGAATTCAATAGGGTGTATCGATAATGTTGGGTCATTAGCATTAAGCCCTTGCGTGTTGGACGGTGACGGAGTTATGGTTGTAAACAGCGCAAGACTGCTAAGCCGTCTTCTTGTGTAAGGGAAGCCTCGGCAAGTGTTTATTGGCTTCAGACAATCACAGCGAGGCAAGGTCGCAACACTTTCTCACGGATTGTTTTAATTTTTCTGGACAAAACAGTAACATTTTGGGTAATGGCCTTTTAGCGTACTTCCCATATAGGGAAGTAGCTATTACCGTAGGTGGCATGGTAAGACCTGGACCTGGGATCGATTTACTTTTTAGTTTTACCACGATAACTCTAGCAAAAGTGATCCGATTTTGATGAAATTTGGTATAAACTTCTAAACCTACATTTGTTCAAACAAGCGAACCAGCATGATCGGACTATGGGAACAAGGGCTTATGGGGGGTTTAATAGGGTAAAAATGGGTTTTTCCCATTTTTCACCCTGTTAACATAAGATTTTGCATTTCTTTTCCAAACCATTTTCTAGAGCTCAAAAAAACAAATAATTTAGTATATTGAAGCATTGTTATATGTCAAACGATTAGGCCTACTGAAAAAATCCCAAAAAGTCTAAATTTTAAAATACCATGTTATTCTTATGGAGAATAAATAAACTGTTGTAGCTTGCTTTTCTATGGACATATTATATGAAATTTTGAAATTTTGTTTACTTTATACTAAGCTATCAATATTAAAAATAAACCCTATTTACTCCCCTCCTGTAGCAGCAAACCTAAGTACTCATCAAAATTAATGATATTTAAATAGGAAATAAATCTGACAATTTTTAGGAAATATTTTAGTAGAAATCCAGCTAGGTAAATGGAAATTTGCTTAGTCTGCAGGTTTGCTGTGGCGGGGGTATTTTTACTATTAACAGAGAATTTTTAAGGAACACACAAACCTTGAATGATTGTAAAGTTAGGCAGGATATAGCCAATTGTGAGTATAGAGGTGAATCTTAAAAAATAAAATTGCATTTTTTTAAAAACCATGATATAGACTCTAAATATTGTATTAATTTAATGGCAGTTCGCTACCACTGAGGAGTAGAGATGGGCGTTATTTAAAATAACAGTGTTGCGGCCGCAGCAACACGTTGCCGAGAACTCCCTGTCATTCTAATAATGTATCTAGCTACACCATGTTGCAGGAAAGCCGCGCGGACAACAAAAACGAAGACATGCACTGCCGTTAGTGGTTAGTGCCGTTGTCGCAACGCTACCAGAGCAACGATAACTTCGGAAACGTACTAGAATTAGAATAACACATCCTGTCTGGACAACGCCCCGACTTCTGACTACAACTGTAAACTAAACTGATCAACCGACAACGATAATTGAACGCTGCAACACCGACCGGTGGACAATGGTTTTTAGCAGCAACGAGCAATGGTTATTAAAATAACAGGTTGCTGCAACACGTTATTGGGCAGCTGCGTTATCGTTACAACTGTTGCTGGAAAACAACGTTAATTCCCATCTCTACTGAGGAGGTTTAACCCATTTCACCACCAGAACTTTTCAAGTAGTTTTAAGAACTTGATTGGTTCCTCGGCAGTAGTTGTGCGATATGTTGACCTGGGCTTTTGTTGTTCTGGAGGGTGACAGAGACTTAAATACTTCCGGAGACATAATAGGGTACCCCTGGCATCGGTTTTAGCTGAGAATGGCTGAATAAATTCTTTCACATCCTACTAGATGATTGTTTCCGAAAAAGGGGTCGGTCCTTGCACATAAAGGGCCTAACAAGAACAACACTACAATTCCCCCTCGAAAAAAGTATTGGTTAGTTTTTAATAAAGTCTCTGCGGGTTTTAATAACTGATCATCGTTTTCTTTTGGCACATAAATATTGTAGAAAACCAATTTATTAAACTGACAACCATCACAGGAAAGTGGAGGCTGCTATACCCTCTTGAATCAAGACCCTTGACTAAGTCAAAACTCAAAATTAGGGATGGACGAGATTGGATTTTTAGTTTGAGACGAGACGAGACGAGATTTTTTATTTCTCATAAAATTTCGAGACGAGATCGAGACGGGATATCCCTTCTCATACACAACAGGAAATGCACGTTCAAAATTTTTACCTGATTTTGTAACATTGTTAGATGACTGTTTAAATACAAAAATAATGATAATAGGCAAGAATATTTACAATCTTTTATTAAAAACATCAGCATAAAATTTTTTTATTAATCACACCTAACTTATTAAAAATGCCTACGATTAGGAAACAAAGTGATATCAGTTAGGATAGAGTTCAACTTATCCTAAAATAAAATAAATCATAAAATAAAAGCAATATTAATTTTTATAAAATAGTTACTTGTTTTGACTTTTTATAGTAATAAAACATTCCTCACACTGCTTACACTTAACAAAACTTCTCAAATGTTATTAAAGTAATATTATTAAAATAATTAAAGTAATATTTACATTTAAAGAATTAATTGAATAAGAATGCCTTCGCAAAGGAAACGCAACTACAACACGCTCCTGTATTGCGGGTATTGCATTGACTTTCTGCAGGCGTTTTTTATTTTTTTTTTTTTATTATTATTCTTGTCTCGATAAAAAATCTCGGCCAAAAAGAAATCTCGTCTCGTGTAACGAGATTTAAAATTTACCGAAATTTCGAGACTTGACCATCCCTACTCAAAATGTAACTAAAAGGTTTTTATAAATTCTGGATTAGCACTTGTTAGAATTAGTAGATACTAAACATGTTTTCTTCTAGTTTAAATTTTATATTTAATTTGATTAAACTCAGCAAATATTAAATTTTGGTTTTGTTTTTGCTTGCCTTCATTCTAATTTAACATTTTAATAATTTTTTAATTTATTACCACAACTCTGTTTAGCTTATATTTATTTTGGTCCCTTTTTTTCTTTTAATGTGATAACACTCATTATATTGAAGGGAATTAGCCACTTTGCATTATGCTTAATTAATTGAATCATGCAAGAACTACTAAAAATACCTCATAAATTCAGGGCAAATTTTAAATATTCAAAAGACAAAATTTTCTGACTAGGTACATAAAAGCCAATCTGTTAACATCAACTTTTTTTCCGTCATTGATTATGATAATTCTTCAATTCAATAAATGTTACATAAAATGCAATCTTAAATAACCACAGATGTTAATGGTAGGTCTGTTACACTATGTTACGACTATGTGCGAGGAAACCTGACCTAGACTATTATGTAAACAAAAGTAAGACCGACTAACTCGCTTAGTGGTGAGTTTAAAACCCTCAGGTAGCCTGCGCGGGCAACCAATACCTCACCACTTCACGATGAGACGACATAACACACTTCGTAAGTACCACTCTACGTCTTAGCATGTTAAAATTAATAAATTGTTTGAAAAGTAAAAGTAAATCAATTAAATGACATTCGATCAACTATAGAAATGTTTAATGAAGATTAACATTTATTGCAATTAATGTATATATTTTTGTGTTAGTATTTTTGTAAATTAATTTCTTTATAATTTCTACTTCGTGTATTATGATTTTGAAGTGATGGAAATAATGGGGGTCGAAATTTATAAGAGGTATGATAAAATTATTCTACTTCATAAATACTGTATCTTTCTACAAAAAAAACTAATGGATAAAAGAAATTTGATAAAGATTATGTTATTTCTCACAAAGAGCTTTAAAACAGCTTTTGCCTACTACCGTTTTTTAAAGTAGACATTTCAGTTCAGTTCTTAGAATTGAAAAGTTTCACATAACAGCATTGTTTACTTTCATAATAGCATAGTTTTACATAACAACACGAGTAACGGACCAATGGGGCTCAAGGATTGAGAGAAGAAGTAAAATTGTAATGATTCCAACTTCAACTAATCAGCTGTTCAGGCCAATTTAATTGTTGAGTGGTGCAATTAAGTGTTTGGTACAATGTTTCGGTGCATCACTGTCAGTGGCAATGAGAGGTTATAAACGAAAACATTAGAAGTTATGAGTAGTAATTTTTAGCAATTAAAACACTATCGTATGTAAAGTAGTGTACGCAACTCGCGTAAATAGTGTTAACGACATTCGTAGAAGTTTTAAGGGACTCCCCATGGCTCGTACCTTAAATTTTCTACTCATGTTGTTAACACTATCTTTACGCAATCGTTGCTACTATTAAAGTCTCGAAATAATGTGTATGTTTATTTAAATTTAAAAAATAATCTCTAATAATAATTTTTTTAAACCATTAACCATCGCTTTTGTTTTATATTTTCCCTCTTACTTTTTTACTTCTTCAGTAATGTCATAGTGTATTGCTTTAAATTATGTCACCTTTTGAAACGTTGTCAGCGAAAACTGACCATAATTTTTCATCAGAAAAAGTGTAATTTTCTATCAATCAAAAGATCTTCGTAGTACTTTTTTTCTTACTATCTTCTTAGAAACTTGCTGGTAATACTCTATGCTCCCTATCGATATAAACAGATTTTTATGCAAAAACTCTCAAAGTTTACATATTAAAGTAGACATTCCATCTGTATAGTGACCAGCTGTTCCCAGTGTTTACACAAAGAGAACCTCGTTAAATGACCCTTTAACACTTTGTTACTCTACTGAAGTTATACTTCCTGTTAGTTTTTGTATACAAATTATAATAGATGGAGACATGAGAGATAGTTTGGTTTTAAAATCCATCACAACAGGCTTCCCTTTCTATTTAGCACAATAAAAGAACACTGTATAAAAATGAAAATGGTAATTTGCAACAGCACACTGAGTGTTGGTGGCAATAAACAGTGAAACTATAACATGGGAGTGAAATATCTTTATGGTAGTATCCATAGTCAAAGATTAAACGCAATTGATTGCTCTTTGGAATAGCATTGATTAAGACCAGCCAGCGGTTCAAATATGATGGGTACAAGAGATATTTGCACCCTTACACCTTTGCAGGGGGGGAACTTTCTTTCTTGCGTCTCCAACAAACGTAAAATCTGTAGTGCCCCTGGTTCCCAACCCATTAACTAAAGCGGCCTTGGATGAAGCCCAAATTCACATTTACAAAATGTTTAGCAAACAATATTTTTTTTTCATTCACTTATGTCATAAGCGAAATTATCATATTACAGCTTAACAGTCTTAAGAGCTACGTACAAATGACGATTTGATAGCAAGAAGGTCTAACTGTAAGCTTCTTCTGCAACTGTTGTTGCGCAACGTAAACATCTCTAACTGTATGTAAGGAAGCCATAGTGTCATAAGCCAGGCAAGAAGCCCCACCGAAGTTATAGCCTGTAGCTTTTAACCTGTGGCAAGGACGAAGTCTTTCATATGCTCGAGTAATGGCATTAGCAAATTCTTGTCAAAATCCTTTTCAGTATGACATAAATTTATTATTTTCAGAAAAATAGAAAATCATTATGACCGTTTTCCAAAAAAATAATTTACAAATTCCCATATGCTAAGTTATTTTGTTTAAAGCTTTATAGAAATTGTAAACTAGTAACTGGGCTAACACTGGCACAATAACAATAATAAATCTTTACTTCTCCACAAGTAGAGTACAATCAATTACAATATAATTCCCAGGATCTAAGATACAAATTATTACCAATTTTATCAATGAGCATCAAAACTTAAATCAATTTTTGTTAGTTAACGAAAACAATGTGCTTATAACTTATAATAGTCAAAGTATAATAATATATTTATTGCTTTATCTAATATAAAATAAATTTCTAAAAAGTTTTAGCTCGTGGATGGAATATTTAGTCACTTAGTTTTCATCACAAGCGAATTTAGTTCTTTTTAGTTTGCAATCGAATTGTTTGGCCGCTGCGCCTCGCTTGGAAATAGAATTAAGTACCGGTACCGAAAACACACTATCGCTCCTTGTGATGAACAAATATTTTCACCATACTGTGGAAATAACCTTCTAAAAAGTTAGACCACATAATTTGAGACGATACAAAGTCATCATCAACCAAAAAATCTGCCATTTGTTTTTTCTGTTCCCTATTTGAAGTTACCCGAAAACGTTGATTTTTTTGCGGATGATTTAGAGAACTAAAAACGGGTGTTTTTTTGGACAGTATGAGGAAGAAAAATTACATATTAACTTTTTTTCACTCATAACAGCTTTTCTTTTACTATACAGTACAACTGTTCTTCTTTTCCAGATGCTTTTCTCTTGATCACACTATTCACCCTACAATGCTGTGTCCCCTCCTCCACTGCAGGCTGTTCAGGCTCCAGCTCAGCTGTTTTGTCTGCATTGCTGCCACTACACGCGGGAGAAGACTGCTCACAACTACAACTCAGAGGCTTGCAACAGTTGGCTGCACTGCGGGCGGTTGTTAGTGATGTCAACAACGAACTGAAGGCCCAAGATGGACTCACTATTGGTAAATATTTTTAAATTGTGGTGTATAGTAATCTTGAATCTTGCTCTTCAGCTTTAATTGATTTGTTGCAGTAATTCATCTACTTGGCAAAAGATCAAATTCAAGCAGGAGTCACCTTGTATATTTGGCTTTCGCCAGTTCAATGACGAGCTCATATTTCGCAAAGGCAAAAGGAAGCGTACCTTCTGCTTTTGTATCGATAAATTTCCATTTACTACAATGCTCATGGTGGATGAAGATGGTGCGATAGGAATTTCCTCACAGTGCTTGCCGCTCGGGCTTTTCCTTGCTCGTCACAAGTAGATATATTTCCGCCACAACAGAGTTTACATACTTGTTTATTTTACTCAAAGATTTAACCGTACAATATCAAGCTACTGCAACATTCACTTCATTTTCATTTTCTTTGCTCTAGGGCTATTGGTGCAGGACACCTGTTCTTCACCAGAAGGTGCCATGAAGGCAGCCCTTCGCACTCTGGTTGACATTCAACAAACCTGCTCCAACCCGCCTCTATACCTCGGTGAGTTGCAATTGTTAGCCCACCCCAACAACCAAAAGCTCTTTTCAGTTTACAGTTGGCATCAGGTTAAGCTGTTTGCGGGCGTTGTAAGATTGCAAGATTTCAGTATTCAACTGTAATGCAGTTATTACTATAATTTATTCATATCAATGCAGCTCTGAGAATATCAGGTTGTGGTAATAAGTTGTAAATTAGTTAATCACAACTCATCAAAGCTGGCTTTAGGTTCTTTACGGCAATGGGCACTTTTCCCTTGAAATTGAACAGATCCAGCGCTTTCCTAACCCCTCAGAAAAATTAACCTGACAAGTGGTTTATGAAACACACCAAACACGTACCCACTAAGTAGTAACTCAAGTTCATGTTCCTAACTTCCTAAAACAACACCCATGACCAACACACTTAACACCTCACCGGCTACAGGCTCTAAAGAATTTCTACATGTGTTCATAGATAAAATTTTACTGATGTCATTTTGTTTCACAGGTATGGTTGGACCGGAGGACTCAGATTCTCTGTCTAAGGTGAAAGCTGTCTCCAGAGTTTTCAATGCGACCCACGTTGTGCCGTTCTTCCACAGTGTAGCCAAGGAGTCTGAAGAAGACAGTGTCTTCTACGTCAGTATGGAACGGCTCAAGGAACAAGCCCAGGTAAAATGATAAGTACATCTACAGAGAGTTCAAAATTTTCATGTCTGTTCAGTTTTTCAATGAAATTTGATGAATTGTTTCCTCAAGTATACACTGATGAAGATAATAACCTGAGTAAAATCACAGAAAAGTAAGATACAGAGGATACATGGTACCCTTAAGTGGTGTCTAGCATCAGTCATTGTTGTCTAGCGCAAATTATATTCCCTGGCCCCTTACGCTCTCCTTTCCTCTCTCTTGTGTTAGGAAGACAGACCCTGGGCGCTGCAACTGTTGTACAAATATGCTATATGGCCATCGCTGTTTGGGCTCTTCCTTGATTGATACTAGTACATTTCCGCCCCAATATACCAGAGCTAAAAGCGCAAGGTTGTCCAATTAGCTTGTATCCTCTGTATCTTACGTCTCTGTGGTATAATAACTCTTGGTGTATAGTTTGTTGCAGATTGAATCCTTATTTGGATTGTTCAAAATCAACCAGAATCTAAACTAGTCCATGAATTTCTGCAGTACAGGTTGTTTTCTAAGCGAAAGCCATACAGTTTGCTTACCTGATGAAATTAGCAGCTTATTAAAGGGATGCGATGGATGGGAAAGGTTGTGTACTGGGACAAAACGTCAGTGTTGTTGTGTTGTATGGCCTTTTTTATATTTATACTTCTCAGGGATTTTTTCTATAAACTCTATTTGGATTAAAATCTCATAATTTTACTACAAATTCTTGATTATTTTCAGAGCCTGCTGGCCATAGTGAAGAAGCTGAACTGGCAAAGTTTCTCCTTAGCATTTGAAGAGCCGATGTCTGAGCTGGCAGAAATCCTGATCCATGCTGTCAAGGAGGACAGCTCAGTGTGCGTGAAGGGGTCTGTGTCTAGGATGCATGTGCAGGCTGCGGTCCCCAACATTTTTGGTGGTAAGGAATTTTGCTTCATCCTACAGCACTGGCAAAAGTAGTAGTTCTAAGCTTTTCTTCCAAACTGCAACACACACCTAGTGTAGAATTAACCACCAATTATGGAGATGTAAGCCATAGAATGTATAAGTGTAAGAAAAGTAAATAATGATTCAAGCAATTACTCGCCGTCCATTGTATTCAAGGTGCAAACTACTTTTGTTGACACTTCTTTGCAACTACTAAGCCAATTTCAACGAGTAAGGTGCCAAAATAAGACTGTCCCAGTATTTAAACGATGTCTCAAATTGTATGTATATGATTCAAATTCAAGGTGTTTTTACCCTGAAAATTCGTTGTGTTTTCAGCATTGATCACGTTGTCAATCTTAAATTGCTGCCAGAAGTTTCATCCTTACTATGAAGAGGCATTCTTACTGGTCAGTGGTCACACAAATGTCTCTTTATAGTAAGGGCAAACAATCTTACTGCAATTCACAAATGACAAGGGTTCAGTGAAAATAAAGCATGGACTTGACTTATGACGTAGTTGCTGTAGAAAATCGTTTTGAATTTTCATTTTCATGAGATCAGTTGGGCAAAGGTATTTTTATCCTCTAGAGCATAGGCCACCCTCAAAGTTTGGAGGACTAGTGATGCAATAAAGATATGGGGTGCGAACTTCGTAGTGTTTGAGACCATTGTTAAGTCAATTATTTCAGCCACTTTAGTTTCATTCCAGCTGATGCTGAACAGTTGTAATTTAATTGGTTGCGTCACAGTACTCGTCACATTTAGATGTTTTAAATATATGAATATTCTGCAGGTAGCCAGGATGGAGTTGTAGTTCTAGCAGACTCTCACCAGATGGCAGCTAAGGTGCTCCAGTCTTACCAAGCGCTGACAACTCCTCTGATATTGATGGTTCGCACGGCAGGACTAGAGGCGTGGCAGGTACCTAGGTCTGCCTCCAAGATGTACCTCATGCAGCAAATCAGGTGTGTTTCTTAAACTTTCTGACACCTTAATTCTTTTAAACATATTACTAGTAGTCATTGATATTGCAAATGTATTCGTTTATCCATGTCAACAACTAAAGTCTGGTTTCCCTAACTTGACTAACTGTTTGCAGCGCATCAGACGAGAATGTTCCGCAAACTTTGAACACAACACTGATGAGCCAATATGAGGCCCAGAAACAAGCAGAGTTCAAAATCCATTGCAAAGATATCACCAACGCAGCTGATTGTGCTGTTGAGAGTAACACCCAGGTAAGTTCACTTTAGTATAAAAAAATTGTTTCATGTAAGAAGCTGTTTTTCTTTTACCTCTTTCAGCTCTAATGTTCAATATAACAGACAAAATTCACGTATGTTGTGACGGAAATATACTTGTGACGAGCAAGGAAGAGCTCGAACAAAGATCACTTTGCGGAAGTTCCTATCCCACAGGGCATATAGGGTCTTCCTCCGCCGTGAGCTTTGTAGTACATGAGTTATAGGGGGGGTGGTGTTGGACTTTTCCCTAGACACTAACGACTAGTGATAGACACTATACAAGTGTACCATTGAATGATTCCTCTGTACCTTACTTCTCTGTGGTACTACAAGCTGACCAAACTTCCACTTAGTACATCTATATGAGTTATACTCATTAAGAACCTCTTTCAATGAATTTTAAAATTCTCTAGGACGCCTTGTTGGAGAACATTGATGTATCTGCGACCGGGATGGCCAACGCTGTCCGTTTGATAGGCTCGGCGCTGCGTACGTCCCATCGTGCTCGTTGCCTGGCAGGCAGCTCTCCCGTGTTCGGCATGTGCGCCAAGCTGCTGGCTCTACCATCTGGTGAATGGCACTCGGCGCTGCGCCGGGCCACAGCTACCACCAAGCAACCTGACAACACCAGAGTGAGATTCCTCATGGAGCTTCCTACCAGCTTCAGCATCTACAGCAGGGACAACAACGAGGGAAATCTAGTCAAGGTGACAACGATTAACCTATCATAAAATCTTCAACTTGTAAATCTTTTACCTAGAGCTTCAATCTTGAGAAAACACAATGAAACAGCGTTTTGGAATTTTTTTCTTAAGAGAAAATGTTTTAATAGGCTAGAGCATGATTTCAGAGGGAACACAATGGAATAGTGTTTTGGGATTTTTCTCAAGAGAAAATGTTTACATATCTAAGCTAGGGCTTGATTTCACAAAGAACACAATAAACAGTGTTTCATACCTCTCTTTCTTCAGGGAACATTTTGTTTAAGGTCTTTAAACATTTGTTAAGACAAATGTTACGTTACATTTCATGAGTCAGATGGAGATGTTACTGAGAATGGAATTCTGTTCTGAATGGGTCAAGTCTGCCATGTATAATTTCTCCATTGCATAGTACATAACTAGCCCTTTAGTTTTGGTGATTTTAGACTATAGCTTTAATACAAATCCAATTCTAACACTAACCATTTATCTGAAATAATTTATCTTAGTTACATCTACAAAAACTAACCCAAACGTGTTGGTCTAGGTGGCCTCTCTTACGGCAGGCACTCTGAAACAACTGGCCGGCTACAATTTCCCCGCAATGCAGCACGCTGCGAATCTAACATCTTGTGGAGAAACCCCCAAGATCCCCATTGCCCCACCACCCATCGTCATAGCTGCCCCGCCACCAGCCGGTGAGTACACTGAGGGTCCGACCCTGAGGGACCTCTACACCTCCGAGTACTCCTTCTACGAGCTCGTAGGAATGATCTGCGGCGTTGGCTTCATCATGTTCGGTGTCATGGTGGTCATAATCTACGTCATCTACAACAACCTCGTGGAGAAGACGGAAAAGGAAAGCACCGGTGGAAGTTTAGAGTCCGTACCTGCTAGGGCCGCTAGGCCTACCACTCGGGACCGTGCTTCCAGAGCCGCACGAGGACTGCGGGACACCTTCCGTCGGAACTCCTCCGTCCGATCCTCAACACACTCTTAATCGCAGATTTTGAAACACACATTCATTCACCATTGTCATCTAAGAAACTATTGAGAAAATACAAAAAAATAGAAACTTAGAAAATAAGAAAATAAAGTGAAACTACTTGTTGTTAAGCTCTAGTTGTTCGAGGAATGAAAAATATACTGTTGACTTAGAGAGTGATGTTTGCTGAATAAAACAGGTATTGAAGTCAGAGCAACTATAACATAATGTGATTAGTATGTATTATTGTAAGTTTTCAGTAAATACAATTTGTAATTCATTGTTTTATTATAATATCAGTTACTTCCATGTAAATTATGGTTATACAGTTTTAAGACATTTATTTTTGGCATACAATTATATATTTTTACTCATGACTTTTTTCTAAATTAGACTATTAGGAAGGTTTTATACTTATTTACAAAAATAAATAAATATGACTAAGATCAGATTGTGTTTACTGATATTGATTTGATTTATTCCTTCCTCATTTCCCGCACACTTATGAGTAAAAGATGTCCGTGTTATGATTTAACTATTTTAGTTATAATGTTATTGTAATTTTTTGTCCCACTTTCGACGTCTCGGGGACTAGCCTCTTTTACACATTACTTCAAGCTAGACCTAGAGGGTCGCTTCATTATCACATAATAAAAATCCATTGGTGATTTGCAGGATTTAAATTTGGAACCATAGGGACCAAAGCCCCACGTTCTACCTCTAGACTAGCTCACTCTTTATATGTATGAATATGTAATGAAACAAGGACAATTTACAACCTAGTAGTATGTGGAAAAGAGTCGATGGGGAAATTCCTCTTGACCTGCTCGCAGTTGAAAAGCAGACCACCTTCACAACTTCTTCCTAGGTGGAAAGAATAGAAATAGTGAACACCGGAAGAGAAACTATACTTTGCAAGTGTGGTAGAGAAGTTTAGGCACTGGTTTCAACATTTGGAATCTGGCTGGGCGAGCCAATAGGACCAATTTCTTCCTATGTATGTCAGTTACATACTGATGTACACAACCTCTTAGACTTTAGAATGTGCCTCCATTAAGGGTGAGCTCTACCTCTCCGCCGCGTGCTAATGCAAGGGTTTAGGATCTCCGTAATTGTCGGTTTAGTTCTTAACCAATTAAAAATATATTTATGTTAATTTATTCATTTGTTATTTTTATAGGCTTGTACTTTAAAAACTTTTTGATAATAGTAGAATTTTAAGTGGGAAATGACTGGTAAATATGTCTAAATAAGCTTTTTTTCTAAAGCATTTTACAGATACAAATACATATTTTTAGAAGAAAATTTAAAAAACAGGGTCATAGAGCGCACCCATAAATAGGGAAGGTCATCCAAGTGCTCACTCTCCAGAGGGGGAAAATTATGCTTGCCACACTTTCTTCGAGTGCAGGAGAAATATACAAATACACAACCAGTCTAAGATAACTAAGTGTGTTTTATAGTGCATTTTCCAGATCTGAGTAACCATAGAAAACATACCTAATTTGGAATCCATTAGTATAGCTGGCTAGTATTAAAATGAATTAGGTATGAATAGTTTCGCATGAAGAAGTTAAAGGGATCTATATCTTGTACCAAAATAAATTAAATTAGTTTTGGTTTTGGATAAAGTAAATTTATTTTGTATGCCATAATTTTTTTACACTTTCCACTGTTCTAGGTTTAAAAAAATGATGAACTCAAAACTAGGCCTACATTGAACAGGTCTTTATTCCATTGTAATCTGTTTGGTAGAATGTTGTTAAAATAGTTATAATAGTTAAAAGCCTTAGAACGCCTTCAATATTGTCAGGCAAAGAGCAGCACATTAGTGCATGGCTATTTTTGTGCTACAAGAAGCAGGCGTCGCTGGTATTCAAAGATTCTAATACAAGTTAAGTATTCGCCTACTTGAATGTGCGGCTATAGATAATTAATTGTAGGTTGTGTGATTTGGTTTGCTAAAGATAAATACAGCCTAGCCATACCATGCAATCCTTGTTTTTTTTGTTTTTTTTTTATATATATACAAAAAAGGTAATTTTGACTAACCTTAGAAAAATATTTGCGATATGAAAAAAATTTTGTAAGTTCATGTAGGATTGATTTTGCTCCGAGACTTTTCAAGAATAGATTATAATAAAAATACTAAGAACGCCCTTGCAAAGTAGACGCAACAACAACGCGTTTTTGTATTGCGGGTATTGCAGAGGCTTTCTGAAGGTGTTTTTAACTGTGTACATCCCAAAAATCGTAAAAAAAAAACTTAAAATCCACTAACCAGACCTAATTTGGCATTTTCCTCTATGTTCTAGCACGGAATTGTTTTCCAAATTTACTTCAGGCTAGGTCTAAAGCAGTTCACATCATTATCGCTTAAATAATGCCTTTGGTGATTGGCAGTATTTGAACCTTTGTTTGACCTTGTGGACCGAAGTCCCGCGCTCTAGACCAGATTGCTACCAGGCCACATTAGATGTAGAACTTCTAAAGGAATGTCTGTATAAAAGCCATTGTGTATATACAATATCTTCAATGTATTAGATTGGATTAGACTCCCCACAGACATGATTAGTGAACAATGATCGAATGTTGAATGAATCGTGATTATCAAAGCTTTGTCATATTCATATTAATTTTAGATGGGGACGCCACCTATGTACGAATTTGAACACAAATATGAGTGAATGATCAATGTTGAAATGTGGTGTGGGTTGATCTGTGTAGCTTTGTTACTGACTAAGATCAGCTGATTCAATAATCAGGACCATTTATTGAAAGCTCAATGATCAAGGACAGCTGGGTACAGTTGCGAACCATCAAAAAGCTTCACACTTTTCTCCAGGATCGAACCGGTGACCCGCCACTGACTAAGATTGGCTTTTTCTTCAACCACCAAAAAGCTACTGACTATTTAGGATTGAACCGATTAACATAAGTATAAGAAATTAATTATGTTTAGTCAATGTTTGTTTGTCAACACATGTCATTATTTTACTACAACTCCCAACCGAAGTTATTTTGATTGATTGTTAACAGAACTTTTTTCAAAGCCCTTGAATATACCTTATAAGTTACACAATTCGCTGGCATGTGTTAAGTCTCGTGTGATAAAGAAAAGTCCTGACCTTCGTGTTCACCAAATAGTTGAACAAGTTCTTTGAAAGGTGACAATTAAGTAATTGAGAGTTTGTACTTGTAGACCGAACCGTTACAGGAATGTTAATAAAATATAAAGGACGGATTCCAACACTATAAGAGCCAGTACTTATAAAGGTTGTGATCCATGATGGGTTTTTATAGCTTCGTGAAAGGGAAAGTATATTCCGAGATAGCAGTGCATTTAACAGATTGGATTTTGTTAAGAGGTTTTTACAGATCTACCACATGGATAAACTCCAAACTGAAACTGTCTATACTTGGAATGCGACGTAATCATTTGAGAATACAGTTTGAAAGACTTTTTTTAACTCCAATTCAGGTCCTCAGAGGCTATAGTTAGGTTTATCATGTTCCAATAGCTAGTCGACAATTTGTAACGGCTATTTCCAAGTATATAAACGTTTTTGGTAGTATTGCTATCAGGAAATAATGTTCCTCAGTACCATAGCCTCCTATAATACAAGGTCTCGGCCGGCTGAAGAGGACGAAGTCCTAAAACAGCCTCAGTCCAATAGGGTTTCATTTCAGCTCACTAGATTGGAACGTCATGAAGTAGAAGAAGGTCTCGGCGTTATTGTGTGGCAACGTTGCACCGGCCTTACAACTGCACAGACCCTCCATATGATTGCAACGGCTGTTTCATTAGGCCGGGATTGCGGCGTTGCCAATTTTGTCTAACCTCATACTAGTTGAGATGGCTGTTTTGTTGGATTTTTGTAAATTGGATGTGTTACAGATATTTTCATATTTGGAGGTTTTGAACATTCAGGAAGTAAAGAAGTTAAATCAAGTAGCCTGAGAAAATTCTTCGCCGCACTTATTTAATAGGTTGCCAGGTACTACATTTTAACCTACTGAAGATTTTTTTATTTATTTAAATTTCATTGGGAAGGATTGTTTTGTGTAATCGTTAAATTTATTCAGAGGCTCTCAGTTATGTTTGGCGTTTATGTACATTCAGCTGTGTTTGATTAGTCAAGATTTCTTAACAATTATTTAAAAGGTTATTGGTTTTTGAGTCTTACAATTTTGTCACTAATATTTAGGTGACACGTGATTTTGGTTGTTGTCAAAACATGTAACGTTGCTGTATTATTTTTTAAAACAATGGTTTATTTAATTTACTAGTACAAAACTAGTATGTTTAATGTATGTTTTAACCGATGTGTAGATTCTATTTATCTTTTGGATTATAGTCCTCCACGGATTTATGATTTTGGCGAGTTTTAGTGACATAGTTGTAAGATCAGGGGTGCTAGCTGGCCTAGTAGTTCCTGAGGTTTTGGGTTCAAATCCTATCAATCACCAATTCATTTTATCAAGTGATATTGCCGCGATCCTCTAGTCCTCTGGAGTAATCTGTACATCGAAGTATATAACACATACTTCCATGAATCTGTACTACAATAGGATAGAGTCTGGCGTCCAAGAGGTTGGGAGTTAAGAAACCAAAAACACCTAACAAATAATTTGTCATCAGCTGATCAATGATATACAAAAGTACATATGTTTATATTGTTTATCTTTGGATCATAGTTTATTCTGATGTTTAGCACACGAACCAAGGATTCAGGATATCTAGTGACCTATCGGTCTTCACCAGCCTTGGACAAGCTCTCTTAGTTTATCCGATCCTAATAACAATAATTATCAGTGTGGAGTCACACAATCACTAAAGGTCACACTGATTACACACAACACACATTTAGCAGTCGTTTACATAAGGTCAGGCGTGAGTCTCGAATTTAACGCTTTCTTTGTAATCGCTGTAGTGATTATCTCAAGTGACTAAGTGATTGTTGTAACTCATTCATCTTGGATTGTGGACTTGAGTTTCTTATTGTGGTTAGGATTTGGTTTGGATACTTTAATGGTACTTTACTTTTCAATGAAATGGTGACCATATAAAGTATGTATTTTAATCCAAGTATGGAGTGTAGGATTAGTGGCGCGATCTTGTAGTCTTGTTAGTGACTAAGGCCGACTTGTTCCTTAGACACAGCTGTTAATTAGACCATACAGCTAATGAAACTAAGGGACCTACAATTTATAGTGGAACCCGAACCACATTTTTGCCTTGGTACAGTATATACAGTAAGTTTCAGGATAGTACTGCGGATAGTCGTAGTACTCACTAGTGCGGACGTGAATCCACACCAGGGAGTATATAATCCACAGTGTATGCCTATAAATATCCACAATTCGTAACCTCCTAGTAGCCTAGTTGGATTACAGGACGTCGCCACACGTCGTCCTAGTTTGTATAGTAAACGAAGACCTCTCACTATATTAGTCTTGACTTGA